CCCCCCCCCCCAAAACCACCACCACCACACAAACAAACCGAGACACAAAAAGAAAGTGCTAATGATTGAGCGTGAACATTAAACTGTAGCTTCACACAACAAATATTGGATTAAGTACTGAGTTCTTTCGAGATGAGTGAATAAAGAAAGTGCAGACAAAACAGAACTGCTTCAACGACTTGGAAAAGAAGCATCTCAGGAAACTAAGTTTGAAGACCCACATAAGCATTTACCAAATTTAAGTTGTACACCAACAAGAGCAAATCACAGGCAAACAAAAATAGGATAAGATAGAATGTCCTGTCTTATTTTAAGAAGTAGATACAATAGACAATCCCATGTTCACTAAATAGAAGCAGTGGACAAACACAGGATAAAATAGAAAGAATTATGCTCCAGCCTAGAGTTTCAAAAAATAATTCAGGAGAAAGCCATACTCTGATAAGAAAATTAATAATCATTTCCTCCATAGCTGCATTTGGCTTAAACTCTTCATCTGGTTGCCCACCAGATCCAGGAATTTCAATATTAGGAATTGAGGAAGCACCACCAGGCGACATAACACACAGGGATTGAAGACCAGGTTCAACCTTCACACGCTTACTAGGATCTTCTGAGAATGAAGATCCATCCGTTGGATGCTTAAGATCAACACTACCAGCAGAAGCATGACTCAGTCCGTCAGCATTTTGACCAGTCCCATCATTAGCAGGTACTATTTTCATTTCACTTTGTCTTTGTCGTTCCCAGTTTACAACCAACCCAGCAAGTTCAATAGCAAGTCGTCTATTTTCAGCTGTAGTATTATATGGCAATCCAAGGCGACTCAGAGAGTTCACCATCTGAGGTACAAACTGTGCTCTACAACTGTAGAATAGATCTGAATGGCGAACTATGAGCTGGAAAATGTGGATGAGATTAGGGATAGAATGACCCTCCTCAACAAGAATCTTTTTGGTGTAACGTATCCAGATAGGCATACGGGAATCACCAAGCGGTAACCTTCTTGGAAGTGCTGGCATGAGTATATCAAGCGCTTGCTTAACCAACATTTTATTCTCCGGCTGGCAAGTCCTGAGGAGAGCGACAAATACCTGCAGCAACTAATTCCCCCTAAGATTAGATTGCACAAAACGAATATCACGGCACAATATAGTTCAGAGACAAAATTTAAGTTGTATGAACCAAATTGGAGGACTAAAGGAAAAGATCAAATCAGGAGCGAAATACGTTACATCAAACATCAATAATAAAAATCACACGTTTTTTCATGATCCTCATAATGAGGTAGAGTAGAAATGACTAAAGGGCATGATCAATAAGGAGTAAAATATGCTGCATCAACCATCAATAATCAAAACCACGAGTTAATCCATGATTCTCACAATGAGATAAAGTAGAAAAATAATAGGCATCAGAAACTCATGCAAACACAACCGAGCCTATTCTATAAGCACGTACAAACATTAGCTCAAGATTTTTTATCCGATTTGTAAGCATAAAAGCTATGAAAATCGCCAAATAAGCATTAAAAAAGTAGACCAGCAAACTACTGCATACATGGACAACAAACCTGTAATCAAAGTTAGTCTCGTTACAAACAGCATTGTAGTGGTAGGAGGCAGTGGGATATAAGAGATATCTCCCAAACAGGAAAAAAACACATAAGTACTAATGCTTGGTTTATACATTAGTAGCAGAAACAGACAGAACAGAGAAGATACCAAAAACCTATCTACACTAATGCGAGTAGCCTTTGGAAAAAATCCACGAGAAGGTTAGAGCATAGTTCAAGAAAGACAACATAGAAACATGTCACTGATAAGAGTGGATCACTGAAATACTATGCCATTGATTGATGTAGCTAACATCCATGACGTGATCGAATACGATGCGCGTGNCGTGGAACCACCACAAATAGTGGTACCTGAAGTATAATTTTCTCTGGAGCTTGATAAGCCTCCAAGAAATGGCAGACATTAACAAATGCCCACTGTTTACTAGCACTATCTTCCCGTTTAAGATGATTCCAACCAAACTTTATAAGTTCCTTCCGATGATGAACAAGGTCCGTCTGCAGATACTTGAGAAGGAGAGTAGCGAGTTGCAAAAGCTCTATCCTCAAAGGCTCATCATAATCAGCAGAGACCTACAAAGATAAATCAGGAAAGAAAATGAAATATACCCAAAATTAGCAGAACATTATCAGTAAAAGAAAATGAAGGATATACGAACATAAAGAGATGCAATCATTTACCTCTTCAGGAGGGTCAAGAAGCTTGTCAACAATAGTCTTAATTATAGCAGAGTCAACTACATCCCAAGTCTGACCATTCTGAAATGCATGACCAAGCATCGGAAGAATAAGCATTTGCATTACAACCACCAAATGATCAAGACCAAGTTGTCTCGATTGGAAAAGGTTCAAAAAATGCAGGAGCAGGGTTCTCTTCATGTTGGATGGATATCCTTCAGCAACCTTAATGGCAAGCCACGATGAGTTATCAAAACAAACACTTCCATCTAGAGAAAAGAATTTGATAGACAGATAGCAGCATTACAAACATACCTCAATGATATAGAACTCCTTCAAGAAGGTAAAGTCTATACGAGTACGAAAGAGGAAGATGGAAAGGATATCAAACAGAACATTGATTTCAGTTTTATCATGTCGCAAATAATTCAGGAAGCATTTGACAAGCCATTTGCTCTCTTTGACCTGCAAATATTTATCCCGTAATTTAGCAGGAAACTCATGTGATAAACAAATATATAAATAAAACAATGGCCTGAATATATGCCAAAACAGAAGCACAATTAGGAGAACTTGGCAATATAATAAAAAAAAAAGTAATAGTTTTGGAACCTCAGAAATAATGCAATTATCTGCTAGCAATAAGAAAGTTTTTCTTGACTATTTAAGGGGCATGACAATAAAAGGTAAATCATACTCCTTTCCCCAATAGATTGAGGAAACTAATTATTATTTCAACGAAAACAGCATGAGAAGGAACAAAATGGGTAAAAACGGTCAAAGTCGCACACAAAGATCTCAAATATCAAAAACAGAATTCACAGAGCTAGGTTTTGATTCTATGAAGCAATCAATGAGATAAAGTTTTCATGCATATTGAACAAGCACTTCGAAAACAAACAATTATCCAGGGATCATTATGTAATAAACAACAACAACAACAACAAACCCAGTTTGATCCCAACAGGTGGGGTCTGGGGAGGGTAGTCTGTACGCAGACCTTACCCCTACCTAAAGCAGGTAGAGAGGCTATTTCCAATAGACCCTCGGCTCAGGAAGGGCAAGAAGAAGAAGAGGAAAGAAAGGAAGGAAGGAAGGAAGATGGAAGAGAAAAGAAAAGGGAGATATAAAGGATAAGTAGTACCAAATAATAGCAACAGGGAATACAATACTTGAGGCGAAGGGATCATTATGTAATGAAGACTACAAATACCAGTTTGCAAATGCAACATAACTTGCCTGCACTAAGTTTAATTCCTGTTCATTTTGCAGACGGGAGATTCTTGCTGGCGACTTCCACATCAATACCAGCGTATCAAAGACAACACGATTGTTCTGTAACCAGTTAGGCATCAACTTGACCAAAGTTTTCACCAAAGCAAGACCCTGGAAATAAGCATCCTGAGGTGCCACATTGGTTGAAACTGAAGGGACAGAAGCCTCGGCTTGAGGTGTAGCAAGGCCTTCATCACCAGTTGAAGTGCTTGGCCGACTCAAAGATTCTTGTCCAGCAGGTGCATCAGATTTGGTAATAAATTCGGGAAAGGCACTTGCAATTATCTTTTCTGGTGATTTTGCAAGTTCTTCTCTTAAAGGCTGTCCAGCATCTGACCTTATGATGTACATAAACCTGCAAATTTATGAACCATATCAGAAAACCATGGAAGCAAAAAAGCTGCATAACTGCTTGTAATGGAACCATGAGAATGCAATTTCAACAAGTATTCTACTTACCGCCTGAAGTATTTAGGTTGACATAATCGAGCAAGAAAGTAATCAACAGCAGCAGTTGGATATCGATTCAGGAACTTGGTCAATGGCAGCCTATATGGACTGTTAATCTCACTGTAAAACTGCCCAGGTGGAAGAGCTGCTTCCAAATCTATAGTCAACGTCACAAGCTCATCCAGAAACTTCCCAGCTGCAGAGGGAAGCAGGTGGAAGAGTTCGATAATAGCTGCATCCATAAGGAGAAATACATGTCAAAAACAAGAAGTATATTCACTCAGCCCATGTGATTATTAGGAGCAAAGCTGTATCCTACCAGCAGCTATTTTTGGTTCCTCGCCAGCCTTCCACGATTTCTGGCACTGTGCTAGCTTTTCAGGTTCCAACCATTTCCTAAGATGCTCCAGTAACTTGCCACCTAAGGTCACATTAAACCAATTGGACAGAAGTTCAAGCAAGCGGGCCAAACCTTGAAGAAGAGGCATGCTGAGATTTTTAGTGTGGGCCAAGTTAACCAATATAGGTCTAAGACTACTTTGTAGAAGTTCTTTTGGCATCCTTTGCTGTTGTATGACCTACATAACAACGATACCATGAAGGAAAGACCAAATTAGAACTAATGAAGAAATGAATTGACTGAACAGTTATATCATTCAACAGACGAAAAAAAGCATCCTGCTACGCATGTGTCCATTATCCATATCATTCAGATGGCTTAGGGAGTAAATGATGAGAACCTAATGTTAAAACATGCTCGAAAATGCCTTCAAATACAACATTCAATGTTCTATGCGTGCACAAAAATTGATCCTCTTGCAACCCTAATTTCATCGATTTTTTGTCAATTTGTATTTATAGTCCTGCAAACTAAATACTATAACAAGTTATTTTTTCTCCCAACGTCACCAGTAAAGAAATGTGCAAGGGAACGTAACTGTAACCAAATGACATTTCTAAGCAGATCCAGTAATAAGCCTTAAGCATGGAAGAATAGAACATCAGTAAGTGATGATGGAATAAAAAGAGACCCTGATTTCAAGCTAAAACCAACCTGTCGCAACCCTTCCTTTGCAACAGCTACAATTTCTGAATTTCTGCTTGTCAGAGACTTGAAGAACATTGAAATAATTTTTGAACGCAATTCAGATTGATTTTGGGTTTTAAAATCGGCCCACGCCATAGCAGTGCAGAGTAATTCAATGCAGGCTGTGCGCAGTTTGTTTAACGAGGTTGCTACCTTAGGATTCATAAATTTCATAACCCATACTGTTTCATCAGCCTCAGCTATTTGCAATGCTTCTTGCAGGAAATTGATCAGCTCCTGAGTCAACTTTAGAAGTGGAGGTCTCAAGGCCAAGCAAAAGTTCAAAGCTGTAACAGTCCCCACCTGAAGATACAAGATGATTAGTTCAGCAAGCAAGAAAATGATTATAACAACTCTACCAACAAAACATCACCTGTTGATCAACAGTCTTTGACCGTAATGGACGTAGTATAAGAGGCTGAAGCAAAGGTTGGTATAAGGGTTCAAGCAACTCAGAAACCTCACTACCAGTCCTGCTTGCCAAAAGTGCTAAACAAGACTGCACAATCTTCCTCACATTAATAGACACATTAGGATTAAATAACTCTGATGCGAAGTATTCAACAACTCCTTGGAAGCTTTGCCTCCGCGCTTCACTATTTGCTTCATCAACATTATTCACCACACGAAGAACTTGTGTAAGCACCTGGCTGGTCTCGTCTTGCTCTTTAGTGGCATAAACAGGAAGTCTCTTGAGGACGTAAACAAGTCCCCGCACGATACGGACTTGGAAAGCACACAAAGTTTCAACAGTGACTTTCCCAACCAAAGCACCAAGCCCCATGACTCCCCCCATTTGTGCTTGCCATGTACATCCAAAGCAACAATGCAGAAGACGGGGCAGAAGCTGCTCAAAAACAGGGACACGAACACTAGGAGGTGGAGAATATACAGGACTCATTGATGGGCTAGAGACAATCATAGGTGTGGCAGGACCTCCTCTTGACATCAACACATCTGAATGTTTCGAGCGAGCAAGGAATAGAAGGGTCTCAGCAAACACATTTAGTGCATTTAAAGCTGCCTTGGCATGCAGTCTATTTTCATCCGCCAGGACATCCACCAAAGCATCCAAAAATATAAGAGGGTCCAACTCTTTCAGGTTGGAAGAAGTACTATATCTTGACTTTGCACTAATGCTGGTGCTAGATGAAAGCACAGAGGCACCAACTGGAGTAACTGAAAGAGAACCATGGGCGGCAGAGCTTTCTATATGAAATACAATGGCAAAATGTCGACAGATGCTGATGACATACTCATCCTTGGAATCATGCAGATCGGCTTCAGCACTTGCCGCAATAATGGTCATAAGAAGAATTTTAAAAACAGATCTTTCAGCAAGGAGTTGAGTCTTTGTCTTGACACCCAGGTCAGCCTAGAAGCAAGGCAGTTTCAATATCATTAATTTGAATTCAAATGGAAATAAGATAAGAGGTTACCCTGAAATCTTCCTTACTCTCAGGCAACTACGTGATCAAATAAATTTCTGATATTGCTGTAGCCAGCAACACAGGATAAACGCATTACCAGCAATAAAGTAATCAACAGGTTTTTTGGAATAAACACAACCACTAAGTTATATCACGAACCTTTATATCAGATGTCTCTGATCTTCTCCAAGATGGATCAACTGAGGAAACTAACAAGGTCGATAGCATCCTAGAAGTCAATCTATCATCAGTAGCACTACCAGGAAGATTAAGCTGAGAGGACAAGGATACACGAAGAAATTTCAGAGCTTGTTTTCTGTAGAAAGCATCCACAATGACACTTCTTTGCATGACAGCAGCCACCGCAAGATTTATACAACGATCTAAAGGCACCAAAAATGGGGTGGACGGTTCAAATGTAAGGATCACACGAAGCCCATGCTCAGGATTTTCCTTGCATTCAAGAGCAAGAGGTTCTTTGAGAAAACGCCTATTACGCCCACCTAACTTTCCAAGGAGCTGCAGAGACTTCCCACCCCAAGGATAAGGTGCAGGCCTCAAATGAGACCATAATGCCAAAATCACCTCGGACATGACATTTGCCATGCTTGGTTCCAAAAAATCAGGATTCAGACTATCAATCCAAAACTCAAGTGTTCTTAAACCAAGACTCACTAGGTCATCACTACCTTTAAGACACATAACAAGAGGCTTCATCAGGCGAGGAAGGTGAGGTAACAGTGAACTTAATCGTGCAGGAAGGGTCAAGCAAAGCTCCAGCAGAAGCTCCCGCATATCTTCACCATTAGGCCCCTCAAGCAAAGCCAACAGCATATTCAAACAGGGTTGCAGCATAGGAATCAAGTCACGCAATAGAAGTTCAAATTTTCCTCCTGCAAGGGCACGGAACATTGTACGAAGGAGTTGCAAATAACCAATGGGTTTTTCAACCTCGGATGCATTTTTCATGCAAGTTTCCATAATAACATGCACATGAGGTTGCAGTATGCGCTCACAATCTGAAGGAGCCTTTGCGACAGCACCAAACAAAAACCGAAAAAGATGCAAAACTAGCTTTGCTGCAGGTGAATCTGGATGCTTAAGGACATCAAGTTTGCTGCTTACAAGGAAGTTAACCAGGACATCTGCAAATGGTCTGAAAACTTTTGGTGCTTGCAATAGGGTTGAAAATATGTGGACTAACTGTGTGTTAGAAATCATGCACTCAAACAATTCAGGCATGCATAAGGAGAACATGTCCATCAAATCTCGTGGTTCCATAATAGCCAAAATCTGGGAAAAAAGGTGGATCATGTCTCTCTCTTCGTCCTTCTCCTTGAATAATGCCAAGCAATGAACACCACTTTTAAGCACACCAGAAGCTTTCCAGACCTACCACAGTGAAACATAAAGTGAGTTGCAGAGTTCCTCAGCCACAAGCATTCCCTAGGCAAAGATTAAAGTGATGCAGTTGAGCCACTAGGCAAGATCAAATGCTGCATTAGCATAATACCTCGTCTTCTCTCATTCCTTTAAAAGGCTGAGGTACTGATGAAGAAGTTGATGCTGAGGCAAGAACTTGAGGAGGGGTTCCCTGGGTGGATGCCGAAACCTAAAACCAGTTGGACCACATAAGAAAAGTAAAATTATGAAGGTGAAACACCAGGCACAGCTAATGTTCTATACCTGTGATCGTGGCAAATGCGCATGGGTGATGCTCCATATTATGGTTTTCATTCCTGAAAGACGTAAAGGTGACTAGTCACAATGAAAAAGAGCAGACCAACTCAAATTAAAATAGAGCAAGATGGTTCATCTAACAGCCATGATGAACAGGGTAATGTTAGTGAATTATTACCCATAACCAAGGTTTTAATCAGATGCTTGCAATCACTGACTTCCTTAGAGTGATCCACAGGAACTTGCAAATTGAGTACTGCCTGGAAGAATATAATCCATGATCAAGAGAGAAGACAAAATAGAATTATGAAATTCAATCACAAAACCATACTACTAAAGTAAACTTTTTGGCACTTCATTTGACCTCTAGTCCACGAGCATTCTTTCAAGCAAAAAGAGTAGCAAAGACGGACAAGCAAGATAATAAGCCAGTAACAATATCACACTAGCGCGAAACCTTTATACTGGCAGACTCTCATTCATCAAGAGATTCATGATCTAATATGCACTAATAAAACATTTCCCACAACACTCAGGAAGAAGGTGTAATTATGAGTACAAAATTCATGCACATAAAGAAGCTTATTGTTACAAATCAAGGGTGGAAAGAGATTTTCTTTTATTCTATTTATGGCTCCCAACAACCTCACATATAAAAGAAATAACATATCTTACTTATCAGAAAAAAGGAATAACAAATCAAACTATAATGTGATTATAACTATTGCTTTAAACAATTTATTCAACATGTGCCATTGAGAATGCAAATCCACAATACGTATGGAAAAAAAGAAGACATTAGACCTAGAAGAGTTACATAAACGCCTCAATTTTGGATTCTTAATATCATATTAAGAAAAGGGGGCTCAAACAGAGTTATCCAACTCGGGAAAGCACTGAATTAAGGACAGCAAAGAAATTCACCAAATTACCTGCACCGGAAGTTCTAATTTTGACCTTAATGTAGATCGACCTTTCAAATCCTCCCCCTCTTCTAGAAGCTACAGTCCAAATATAAAGAGAAATATTAGTCTGGACATAGCTGATTGATTAATAAATGGGAAAAACTGGGAATATCCAACAAGTAAGCTCATTTGATGTCATTGTATTCAGGAAATCACTGTGAACGTCAATGAGCAAATACACATGTATTAACGAAATTAAACATCAACAAAAAAGTAGCTAGAGCTATCATTTTTTTTGTTTCCCCTTTTTGGGGGGGGATAGCTTAGAGCTATTCTTAATATTGAAATTAAGTTACAATTATAAGTAGTTTCTGCTTGCCGGCGTGCACGCATGCCTTGCTAAAGTCTCGTCCTTTTTTTTTACAGAAGTTTATCATTCTTATATGGCAGAAATGCAATAAGGTTGCATACAATAGACCCAATGAGAGTTAGACCTTCCTGGGAACCGTGCACAACAGAAGCATTGCACACCAGGATACCATTTTTAAGTTTATCATATCTCCGGTGCAACACTCTAAATTGGGCACCTGCTCTAGCATCACCACCTCCATCGCGTCTAATCTAGTCACATATTGACCATTTTTCTACGACTTCTTTTTTTTAATGGTATTAGGTCTTGGGTATTGAGTCATTCCCCTAAATATTGAATTTCCAGTTGCTCTTCCAGAGTCTTCAGACCATCTGAATATTGAATTTCTACGCACTGCTCAAGAAAAGCCATCTTCTCTTCTCTTTTTCTGCAGTTTTTGAATTTGGGCTTTCAGTCCCTCCACTAGCACCAAATCTCCGGTCACCCTTCAAGAGAAATCTCTTTCTCCTTTCTTCCTTTATGATTTTAGAGATCCAATATTGAGTCACCTCCTCTAAACGTTACATTTTTATCAATGTTCCAAAGATTCTTCTCCTCCTCATAGATTCACTGGTGCATTGTTACTGGGTAGATTTCGTCACAATCAGGACAAAAAAATAAAAGATGATCCAATTTACTCAATTATTTTAGCTTTGATATACAAACTCATGTTAATTCACCATCTTGAGTTTGAGGAACGTGTTAAAACTTAAAACTAAGAATATGGTTTAAGTATTTAGATTCACAAAATCTCTATATACATAAGGCTATATTAAAGAATATTTCATAAATATTCCCAAGGATACACAGGATATTTTGTATTTGTAGAAAATTTACCTACCTAGTTAGAAGTAAAGAATATCTATTTACACTTTTTACATAACCTTACACTCCTACATAATGAGCTATTCTAGTACATTGTTGTTCAAAAAATTCAAAACCTGTTCTTTTCTATTTTATTTTAAATTTCTATTTTTCATACTTGATATCTTTAAGTTTCTAATGAGTTGTTTGGGAAGGGGAGTGGAATCATGATACACAGATTAAAAATTGGATTACAATCTGGTCAGGTTGAACAATCGATACAGGTGGGAATTGGGATAAGAGAGAGGGAGAGCCAAATTGGAAATTGTATTACTATTTGTGAGTTTGATATTCTCCAATTTCCCCACACAATATGGCCATGTAGCTATACAAGCTACTATAAAACAACCGACCGCAACAGAGTTCAGTGCAACTTTGAATACAGAAAACAAATGAGGGATAAGTTATATGGTGTTTAATACAGGCTTGCTGTTCCGCATCCAAACACCTAAACTTAATAAGTTATATTGAGTTACAGATTGATTACCTGTGGAATTGTACGCTTAAACGTGTTGAATTTGCCAACAAAAGCGTCCAAAATCCGACCCTAACACAAATATACTGATATGAGTTCTAGTACACAAATAACTGAAAATAAAGCATGGTTGTCCAAGAAACCAAGAAAAGTATTGAAATATGCAGTGGTAGCCCCAGACCAACAAAATCCTTGCTTCATCCATGGTGTGCTGGTCGACACCTTTCTCAAAAATCGGTTCCACCTGTCATAGGAAGAAAGATATCTTTGTCAAATTGAATACTGACCACTAGCCACCATCTTAAGGTCCAAATCATCTGGTTACACTACAGCTGCAACGACAGGGGAATAGATATATGTAATTCATTCATACCAGATTTAACATCAGACGAGCACATGTAGTATGGATGCTGAGCGACAAAGAAGCATCATGCATGTTGCTTGAGAAAAGATAAATTATCCGTGATAACTGCACACAAATAAATCAAGATTAACCCTTTTCAGTAGTAACAGATGAAAAGAAAACGTATGCAGACAGCATAGTCAGTCCAAAGATGGGGAGAAAATATAAAACACAAAAGAAATTTGATATATAAATTATAGAGAAGGGTAAGGGTGAAGATAAAAAATATACCACTAATGTTCAGTTGCTCAACCACAACATTTCAAGCATTCCTTTTATTTATTTTTTTTTTTTTTTTTT